CTAGCGCCGAACCCGGCCCTCCACCTTGTTTCTACCCGGCGGCAGCAATGAGCTCCCTGCCCCCAGTTAAGGAGTAGTTACATTTACAACAGTCCTAAAATCACATTCGGCCCTTTGAAGGCAACAGCAAGGCTGATATGGGCCCAGATGAAAATGAGTTTGACACCCCTGCCCAGGGACACCTGTCTCTGGTCCTTGTCACTGCCTGTCCAGTATGTAAGGGCAAGTTACTGTCCACAGGCCTGCCCAGATATCCAACCAGGCATGGCTTCCAGGTCGTTTTTTTAATCTCAAATGCCCTGATCTCTCCTGGTTCCTTTCTTCCCAGTTCCATACCTGGTTTTCTGGGCCCCACCACTGGCTCCCCTTAGTTTGTTGACTTATTTGGACTTTTACAAACCTCAGCTTCTGACTCAGATTTTAGCTTCATAGGGCCCTTTGATTTCAGTGTCTTCCAGAACTCTGAGCCAGAGATAACCGGCCCGCCCTGCCTTTAGGAAGGAACCCTGAACTGCCTGCCGAGCTACCCAAACTCACTACTACAGTACGTGGAACATAGAACGAACAAGGGTCATTCACTAGAAAATGCAGGAATAGGCACAAGAATGAAATAAATGCATTTCACTCCAGATGCTGGGAAAACTAGATAAGACACTGAGGGAGAAATTCCATAAAATCCACTCCAAATACCAATCGTAACAACGGCATGGAGTCTGCCAGAAATACTCTTTCTGGGAAAACAGTTTTCTAAAAGTCATTAAGTCCGCATAAGGAGTCCTTCGTCACAGCCACACATTTAATTTAGTTCGAGTGCTAGTTAACTACGACATAATTTGCTTCTTCCTCCACGAAGACTGGGACCCAGCTCACCTGCAGAGATGGGCAGACGGCACAAGTCAGGACGCCACTGCCGTCCCACGTTCTCTCCTCTCCGTCTGGCGTGGCCGCACGTGACTAAGTGAGCCACCCCCCCTTCGCCGCCCTCCGCGCACACAGCTGTGCACGTTTGAGTTGGATGCAGCTACGAAGCGTCAGGGGGACGCAGCTCCAATACATGCGAAGGTGCTTCTTCGAGGCTAAAACACCAATGAACTCACAGTTATTAACAACCACACCTAAAACGAAAGCAAACTAAAAGGACAGCTAGATCAGGAGTGGAAACATAGAAATGAAGATCTCAAGGAGGGTTAGCAACAGGGGAGTGGGAGGAGGAGATGGGGGGAGAAGGTACAGAAAATAAGTAGCATAGACAGTAGATAGAAAATAGATGGGGGGGCAAGAATAGCATGGGAAATATAGAATCTAAAGGACTTGAGACACATGGTATTAAACTAAAGGGAGGGTAATGGTGGGGATGGGGGGGTACGGTGGAGGGGAATGAAGGGGGGAATAGAACAAATGTAACAGCATAATCAATAAAAAAAATTTAAAAAAAACACCAATGAGAAACTCTGGTACTGATATTTTTCTTTTTTATCGTATTTTTTCCAGTGCCATTTAGTCCCCTTGTACCCCTCTCTCCCCCCACAATCACCACACTGTTGTCCATGCCCTTGAGTCTTTTTTCCTTTTTGCTCAATCCCTCCACCCACTACCCTCCCGCTCCTGTAGCTGTCATCCTGCTCTCTATCTGTGCGTCTGTCTCTGTTGCTTGTTACTTCAGTTTGTTCATTAGATTCCACATGAGTGAAATCATATGGTATTTGTCTTTCTCCGACTGGTTTATTTCACTTAGCATAATGTTCTCCAGGTCAATTCATGCTGTTGCCAAGGGTAAAATTTTCTTCTTTTTCTACAGCTGAGTAGTACTCTGTTGTGTAAATGTCCCATAGTTGTTTTATTCACTTGGTATTGATATTTTTAAAGACAAGTTAAAAATAAATGAATAGAACACCAATGTTTAAGAGTATATAGTTTTTCAAATATATTGTTAACAATTCAGTGTTAATTAAAATACTTAAAAACTACTTGAAGTATTTTATGCTTTAGTTTTTCAAATGAACATTTTAAAAATCATTAATATTAATGTCATTGTTTTAAAGAACTAACGCCTGTTTTAAAAAAACTGTCAAAATTCTTCAACCAATTAGCAAATAATTAAGGTACTTACAGGTGCACCAGATTTTGCTACAGGCCAGAGCACAGACAATATACTCTCTTAATGTGGGTGTTTCGGTAATTCAGGGGATTAATGTTGTTGGGGGTCAGCTGATGTCCCCACGTGCTTCTCGCATGTTGCTGTCAACACTGTGTCCCAGGAGGAGCTGGGGGCACTAGCGTTGGACATGTTTCCTTTAAAAAAAAATTAGCAACATCCTATTTTGAGCAAACATTCTTCTGATGTTTGTTCCTCTCCAGTGTGCTCAGCCCGGTACGTTGCTCCCTGCTTAACTGGGCTCATGTTTGATCTATCAAACAGTCTTCAGATCTGTGAGCTGGTGAGCCCGGAGAAAAGCATCCTTCAAAGCATAGTTCAGTTTCTCAGGAGTCTCAGAGGATTCCGCCAGTCCTTATCAAGTCCAAGCTGCTGTTCGCAAGCCTTCCTCTGGCCATTGTTCTCACTTATCCTGCTCACTTGGAAAAGGTCTTGTTTTCCATAGACACCTCTCGTGTATCTTTCAACGTGGATGCCCCCAAATATTACACTTGCTACAATGCCAAGGATGAGGCCTAGAGCACCTTCTTGTACACATGCAAGGGAAGGAGGAATAACTCAGGTCCAAAGGCAAGTCCAAGGGAGCGGGAAAGTCTTCCTTTCCCTTCGCCTGTGAGATACCACCTAGCAATCAAACTAAGGGCTCAGTATTTCACACGGGCCCCTCATGGAGCAGCAACACTTTTTCACCTTCTAATATTTTAGATGTGGGTGTTAGAAGTGCCTATGGACTGATGCCATGTCATGCCACGCCCTGCTACAGCCAATAACTGGTTTACGAAATCACAGTTCATAGCCCTTCTTTTTTTGAAGGTCACCATGGACTCAGAGTTATAGGGGCCTATTCTCCAAGGAAACTAACTACCTTAGACCCATAAAAAGTTAGGCACGCTTATTAAAAACATGAATTCAACACAGTCGTAAACATCCCAGGGAGAAACGAGAAGGAGGTGGAAGAATGAGACAGTGTGAAGGAAGAGACTCTTGGCTCCAGGGTTGGAGGCCGTAAAAGATGAGGTCATTAAGATAACATTCGACCTCAACAGTCAGGTTGGAATGCGTGGCAGCGGCTACAGCGACCTGTCTGTCGGGATTTTAATCATTCACACAAACGGAAAGAGGACAGCTCTCTAGACAGTGCTGTGCTCAGACTTGCAGGAACTCTGAAGCTAGAGGGTAAAGCCCAAGATAAAGAGCCTGTGAATTTGCTGGAGCGTGGCTAACCCGCCCTGCTGGCCTTGTCTTCGGGCCAGATGGAATACTCCTGTGTTCATTTCCAAGGGTCTGAGGACCTTGGAGATGATACCCCTTCCCACTTTGCAGCGCATATTTCTGTTTCCTTGTTTGGTCTCCCCTATTAGATTTTGAGATCCTGGAAAGCAAGGGAATTCAGCATTGTGCCTAGCATTAACACCTCATAAGTGTTCATTTGATTTTCTTTCATGCAATGTAATTTGATTTAACACCCAGTAAAGGTTTGTTTGAAAACCGTGCTGTCTTAGAAATGCTGGCTGCTCCCTGGTTGCCCGGCCCAGGAGAGGCTGCTAAGAATGGATTCCCTTCAAACACCACAAGCTCCCATCTTCCCCTCTTGCCACCTGGGGGGCTTAGACACACACACTCCTGGCTGCGCTGGGAGAGAACCCCTCTGGGTAGGAGGCAGCGGCTAGGCCCCATGTAGGGGGAGGAGTGATGGCCAAACGACTTTTTTCCTGCTGCAGACAGACATAATGTGACTATTTTGATTTGTCAAGAAGATGAACCACAGGAGGAAAAATGTGCTTTTTACAAAAATTTTGCACAAGATTCTTTTGAAAAGCAAGTATGTATATAGGTACATTTTTTTTTTCCTGGGGAGAAACGAAGCATTTAACTGGGTTCTCCATGGGATTTGGGACCCACAGGGCTCCTGCTTACTGGGAGTAAAGCAGCTGTCTTCCAAATGTCAAAGCTGCTACTTCAATGGTGAGTTCCTTTACAGGGATGATAATATCTGAACCTCCTTCTCACTTCCTGCACCATGTGCAACCCTTCCCAACGCACCGCCATCACCGGGGTCTGTGGGCAAAAACGAAGGCAGTGAGAAGCAGGGCTGACTGGAACAGCATCGCCAGCCACCCAGGGACTCCCCCATTTGTCACTACTCTTGCCTTACCCCCTGCAGGCGGCTCCGGCTCACTCGCAGGCTGGTGGAGAGAATTCACCCCTTTCTGAAAGAGGGGGGATTTCCCATTGTATCTGCATGTTCTGAAATGTCTATCCCTTTTTCCATGTCCAGCTATTGTCACTACTACCTTTTATTTTTTTAAAAAGTTACATTTGTAAAGATGTTACATTAGATAGAAAAAAATTCTGGGGGACACACAGGTCCTCTAGGGAATAGGACTTTTGTGAAAATGAAATGAGGCTTGGTTTCCCTCAGGTAGGAGGCCTCGTTCCTTGTTCTTTTTCTTAAATGAAAAAGAAAAGAGCAAGGGTTTTAAACACAGCCAAACAATCGCAGCCGGTGAAGAACAGCAGGAGGCTACAATGGTTTCACTCAGTGGGTGGTTTTTCTGAGAAAGTACGCCCAGTACAGCTGGAGTCAGGCTTGGCTGCTACAAAGCAAAAGGGGAAAAAAGTTCTTTTTTTTTTTTTTAAAGCAGCAGCTTAATTTGCTGGCTCAGCAAATGTTTTTCCCTGTTCTAGTTTGCAAAAACATGCCTTGACCGCCCTCTTTCCCCTTAACCCTTCCTCCCGCCCCCGACTGTACCATTAAATCCTAGGTACTGGGGTGACTAAAAAGGACGAGCAGTAGGTCAGTAATTGTCAGAAACTACCTCCCCTAGCGCTCCTCTCTTTTCTGTGGATTGTCCCAGTCAGTTCAGGGGTTTGCCTGGTTACAAGGTCACAGCCCAGGGAGCACTGGACTCCGGACTGCAGCTGGGCGGAGGTAAACAACAGGACTATAAATATCGAAGCTCCGGGCCACTCTTTGCAGTGCGCAGTTGCTGAGCGGAGAGGAAGCTGCCTGGTCCGAAGGGGCCCTTGCAGAGTGAGTAGGAACTTCGTGTTTCCCAGCTCTTGATTCTCTTCGAGTTCGGGGAATGATTTTGAGTCCGTTAAAGAGTTTCTTTCCTTTGAGAATGGATTTTAAAAGAAGTAGGTAAAGGAGATAAAACTGGTGCAGAAGAAAGTGAACAAACGTCCTGTAAAATTGGGTGTGGCAGGTGCGGTTGTGCAGGGACCAGACCGATAGTCTGGCCGATTTCTGCCCTGCCCTCCGCACAGCTGAGCTGGAAGTTGGGAGCAGGGGAGGCTGGAGACATTGAACACTTTGACTCTCTGCAAAAAGGTGTGATGTTACATGGCAGTAACGAATGGTCAAGCCCACCGACTTCCCGTCGAGACGCAGAGAGAACTCGAGGGCAAAGGCAGCCCGTGGGTTTGAAGAGTAGAGATGAAATATGGCCATCTACAGGGATGCAGAAATGTCCAGGGGTATTGTGAGCAGTGTCAGAAAAAAATTAAAAGGGAGAGCAGGTTTGGCCCAACTGTGCAGAAATGGTCACCCCTGAAAGAGTTACAGCCCGTGTCAAAATCGGGTGTGCTGGGATTTAAGTGCAGAGTTTTGCAGTTTAAGGGGCAAGGGGGCACTTCTGGGTGGATGAGGAAGGACCCTCGAAGTTCAAGGGAAGAGGCTGGAGAAAAGGTTCTGTGCAGCCTGCTTTTAAGCAGGGAATTTTAAACAATGTAGGTTTGGATGTGGCCAGCAAATCTGGGTTTTGTGATTGAAAAGTGGTGAGATTGGTGAAATTTGTACTTTCTGAGTGTCATTGGATCTGCTGTTTATCTTCATTACTTTTATGGAGCTGACAGCTGTCATTATACTCAAAAGTCTATTATACACAAATAAAATGACCTTAAATAAACACAGCTAACAGCGGGCTGGTTACAACAACAGAGGAAAAATCTGTTATCGTTTATTTTTCCATTGAAGAAAGAAATGAGGGAAAGGAGTGAAATAGCCTTTTCACTATTTAGCCATTTGGAACATTACGCTGTATGGCAAACTGAGAGTACCAAGTGCTGAATTTATGCTGACAGTTTTACAATTACTGAACTTACATTCTAGAAATTAGGGCTAAATGTAGCCACTTCAGTAAGAGATAAGGCAGACTGAATGATTGTACTGCTTTCTCTGCTATGCTAGGGCATAGACAAACAAACAAAGCCTCAGACCACTATAGTTATTACAGGTGACCCATATGAATAAAACCTACTGATACGGCCCTGGCTGGTGTGGCTCAGTGGATTGAGCACCAGCCTGCCAACCAAAGGGTCGCCAGCTCGATTTCCAGTCAGGGCATGTGCCTGGGTTGGGGGCCAGGTCCCCAGTGGGGGGCGTGTGAGGAGCAACCACACACTGATGTTTTCCTCCCTCTCTTTCTCCCTTCCCCGCTCTCTAAAAACAAATATATCACAGTGGCAAAGAGGTCATGTTTTGGAATGAGCAGAGCTGGTTTGAATCCAGCTTCCGTTGTGATTTACTGTTTGTGTGGACTTACTTTGACAAGATGCCTGAGTTCTCTCTTAGCCATAGTGCGCTCATCTGCAAAAGAGGATAATGCTCACATAGTTGTTAGAATTAACTGACATGATAGGAAAAATTGCTTAGTACCATTTGCATATAGTTTTATAAATGCTGAATAAATGGTAGCTAAATAAGGATAATTATTATCATCAATACAAATACTAAAGAAATTCCTGGGGAGGAGGAATGTTGGAGGTTGGGTGGTGCAGGGTGGAGGGGATAAAGGGAAGAAAAAAATTGGGAAAACTGTAATAGCATAATCAACAAAAATACTTAAAATTTTTTTAAAAACTGCAAAAAAATCCCTAGATTTCACCTAGAGCTATCTTTTCCTTTTTTAAATATTAGGATTTAAAAAATATTATAATAGTTGAGATGGCCTTAATAAATTATTTCACTTCCCCTCTCTTAACCAACCCCCTTCTGTTTAGTCAGGCTCTGAGCACGATATGTAAGTAGGAATTTTGTGGTGGTAAATACCATGGCAGATCACCAGATTTTATAAAGCCCCGTCTATATCTGGCCGTACATTAGAGTCAAAATCAATCTGGTGTTAGCCTACTACCCTCTTAATTCTGGGCTCACTTTTGGAAACTTATCATTAGCTTCCTGTCACCCCAACCCTTAAATAGAAGGTGGTTTTGTTTTTTTATTCCACATCAGTGCCCGAAAAGATGCCAACTTCCTAGCTCTGGAATTTTGTCCTGATACCCTTCTTCAGAGTCTTACATCAAAATAAGCCTGATAAGTCATCCATGTGGATTTTTCTTTCTCTGCTCATCTCAGCTGAATGTGTTCCTTTTTTGCTACCTGTCTGCAGTGTACCTGTTTTATTTGCGGCTGTCTGTTGAGACAGCTAGCCCCAGTTTGGGGAATATTTCTGGTCAGGTTTAACTTTCCTACTCAGAGGCTTGTGTTCCCCACCCCCCAAGAATACGCCACCTAGTCACCACCTAGTGACAGGAACTTCCAGAAAGCACTGGTGGCCAATAGACTGATTGCGAATTTCCCTGAGTCTTAAATAATACAGGGGTTGTGGATATGTAGCATTTCTCCTTGGTAAGGCTCTTTGCATTGGTCCACATTTACCCTGGATGTGGTGGTGGTATTTGGGCAAGTAGTTTTATAGCCGAAGAGATTCTGATCCTTTACTTGGGCAGAGCACTAGACTTTAAAAAACAGGACCAACCGTAGGGAGCTATGCCCAAGAGATTTGTAAGTGCAGAAGGTTTGAACCTGAAGAGCTAAGGGCTCACGCAGGCCACCTTCGGGTTAGTGGACTGCCCTGCTGCTGCTGCCTCTTTTCCTGGGTTCTCTTTCCACCCCAAGTCTTTTCATTTCCATGCAGAGTCCCCTACTCCCCCTCCCTTTGCCTAGATTGGTGAAGGATGGAAAGAAGCAATCAGAACTTGGCACATCTCAAAAATCAAATCATGTTTGCAGTACACCACTTAGTTATAGCCGCCACGGTGTCAAGTTTTCTTAAGTATGTGTGGCCTCCTAGAGAAGTCCTTGCTTTCTGTACAGGCAGATCTGCAGTGCACTTACCGGAGTGTCTCTCTGAGCTGCACTGTTAAGAGCTGCTCTGAGGACTACGTTGCCTCTGGCTGCCCTTTCCACCTTTAAAGGAGTATTTGGTGTGTGGAGGTCCATTGTCATGGGGCCAACACCATGGAGACAGGATCCACGGCTTGGTATTTACAGGGAGGAGAATTATACCTGCTGGATTTACAGACATTCCTAGGTATGACTGTGACACCACTGATGGTGACAGAAAGCTTTCCTCTCTTGCAGGACAGCCCCAGCCATGTGGAGTGGCCTCGGGTTTGCCCTGGCTCTCTGCCTCCTGCCCTGGGCGGGAGCGGGGAGCCAAGGGCAGAGCTCCTTCTGTAAGGAGCCTCCAGCCTGGAGCATCGGGGATCAGGACCCGATGCTCAACTCCCTCGGCTCAGTCACCGTGGTTGCCCTTCTCCAAGCCAGCTGATCCTTCTGCATTACGCAGGCATCCAGGTAAGACGGCCTTTCTGTGGTCTAGGATTCCCTCAGCGAAATGCTATTAAGTACCTGTGTACATAAAATTTAAATCAAATAGAAAAGATGTATTTAGGGAATCACAGTTTTGGAAAAACTACACATCTTTGGATAGAACATCTTAGAAGAAAAAAGACTAGGAAGATACACACCAAAATGTTTACAGTGGTCTTCCCGGGACTAGGAAATCTTTTTCTTCTTTTCACAGACCTGTGTTTCATAATGTCCTACTAAATATGTATTGTGCAATAAAATGTTCTAAAATGTGCCCCTGCAAGTGCATCAGCTATTTCAACATAGCACACGAAGACACGTGCTGTGCAGGGGGGAGAGAGCACTAGACCTGACACGGAGGTCTTGGGTTATGTAACAAATATATGTATTTATATTTAATTTATATAAACTTGTTAAATACATATAGCTAATATGTGAAAAAAATATTTGCTGGGTTATTTGCCAGATATTTACTGGGTAGAATTCTCTGTAACTGGGAGATGGATTTAAACATACACACGTCAGACAATTAATTAGAGAACTAAATGAGCTGATGTCTGTGCAGGCATTTAGCATAAGGTTTTCACAGAGCACAAGGGCTCAATAAATAATGAAACGATAAAAGTTTTAGTCCTTTACAAAAACAGAAAGATGAATGGGTGTGAGTATGTAAAAGTAGAGAGGTTCATGCAGAAAACAAAGAGGAGAAAGAGAGAAGCCACTAACAAAATTAAGTAAGATTATTCATTTTTTGGTATTTTTCCCAACTATTTTAGTCTGGAAGACCTGCGAGTAAAACTGGAGAAAGAAGGCTTTGCTAATATCTCCTATGTTATTGTTAATCATCAAGGACTCTCTTCTCAATCAAAATATGTGTATCTTAAAAAGAAGGTTTCAGAGCATATTCCTGTTTATCAACAAGAAGAAAACCAAACAGATGTCTGGACTCTCGTAGATGGAAGCAAAGATGACTTCCTCATATATGACAGGTGTGTACACACGCACCCCAGCAGAAATTCGAATACACCTGCTTTGTGTTTAATAGCAAGTGATTTAAGATAAGACACCTGCTTTGATTTTATTACCAAATACTGTTTCAAAGTGAATTGAAATGTTTGGTTTAAGTATTTTTGAAATCACTTTCTTTCACATAAAAGAATTTGCCATTTCAGTAGGAAATAAAGAAGATTGACCATACTTTCCCCTGTAAACTGGTGTTCTGGTTTAACAAAAATAAGTGTCCGTTTATATATCACACACAATTCTAATCTAAGAATTTGCTGGGGAACAACCACATTTTGCAGGCCATTTGCTTATTTCTAATGAATAATTTTAAGGTTATATACCTGAATTCCTGAACTATAAAGTGTGTTAATTATTTAGGTATAACCAGTACAATGGCTATTTTGATTGCATGAAAAAGAAAATGTTTATATTTAGGGAGCCTCCATTACTCGGTATTATCAACATTCCTCGTGGGTGCTCCATTTTCCTTTAGCTCTTCAGACTCAACCGAGGTGTAAGCCTTCCGTGCTCTTACTGTAAATGTTTTTAGTATCAGTGTCGTTTTTTAGGATCACGAAGTTCTAATTTAACCAGCTGAAAAGTGTAACCCTTTGAGATCACACAACCATATATACTGGGTGTATACACCATACAGTTGCCCAAAATATGGTCAAGGTGTTTTTCTGAGAGTGCCAGTGTTCTTTCTTTGTGTTGCATGGGATATATTTTTAAGGAAATGGGCTACTGGCCAAGACTCTAGGACTCTTGGGCTAAGCTGTGATCTCTTGCTGTGCGGACTTGCTGCTGCCAGAGCAGTTAGGAAAAGCTCCTGCGATTTGCAGAGCTTAGCTGCCGGTGCCAGCGGTGGGAGCACAGGTAGAATTTTTGAGTCACTCACAAAATTGTATTTCACCAAGTCACGATGACTGTACTGTACAGAGTTTCGATGTCACGGGTGGTGCCACATCCATAACATCCCTAAACGCTGGTATTAGACCCACTGCAGTCTTGCTCTGTCCTGACCTGGGCACAGGGCCAGTGGCTTGTCGAGACCCTGAGGAAGAACACTGACTGACTGACGGCATATCCGTGTCTGAGTTACCAGACCACTAACCCCACACAGTGCTGTTCCCAGCCACGCTTGAGTAGGCTCCTGATACAGAGAACATTGTGCTGACCTTGTACTTGCCCTTTTTTCCAGATGTGGCCGCCTCGTGTATCATCTTGGCCTGCCTTACTCCATCCTAAGTTTCTCATACGTGGAACAGGCCATTAAGCTCACTTACTGCGAAGAGAAATGTGGGAACTGCTCTTTCACGGTATTTTTCTCAATTATTTTTACTGGGAGAAAAGAGGAAATCTCTTAAGAGTTAGTTATCTAAATAAGTTAGTGTTTCATAACCAATTAGCTAATCAGTGTTTCTGCTGTCGTACCAAAAAAAAACCCTACAATGGTAATCTTTATAATTACACACACTTCCTGTCATGTACCATATACTTTAAAACATCTTGTCAAGATCATATTGCCACCTTTATGTGCAAGAACTTTAGAAAATGAGAAATAACATAGATCACATATTTCAGTTGCCACCAAGTGATGCTGCAGTGGTGTCCGTGCTCAGAGTTCTCAGCCCGCATGCAGTGACGTTAGTGTAGTGTCCTGAGTGTGGTTCCCACGAGAACATCGTGGCAGCAAAGCTGGACCACAGCATCGCCTGAAGTGCAGTGGGGCCCAGGCCATACTTAACGGACCGGGGACACAGACTGTTGGCTGTCCAGTGAAGCCCTCACACTGTCTGCCTTCTGCCATTGGGTCACTGCATCGACTTCAAAATGAGATAAATCTACTGGTTACTGAGATTTTTCACATGAGAGTCTTTCTTCCTCAGAAGAAGAGGCACCCTGTTTAAATATTATCAAAAAGATACTGAAAGGATTTTAATGTGTATTAACTAGACTTTACCCCTTCATATTAAGAAGGAACCTACTTCCAAACAATGTTTGCTTGATGGGCAAATTGGCAAGATTTAAACTCAGATTTAAAAACAATTCTGAATTTTGTTTGTAAGATGTACTTCCTTCAGATTTTTCCCAGCTCTAAAAAAATGCATCTCAAAAATTTTTTTAATATGAAGTTTTTTTAAAAAGATTTTATTTATTTATCTTTAGAGGGGAAGGGAAGGAGAGAGGGAGAGAAATATCAATGTATGGTTGCCTCTTGTGCATCCCCTGCTGGGAAGTAGCCTGCAACCCAGGCATGGGTGCCCTGACTGGGAATCGAACCACGATCCTTTAGTTCACAGGCCCATGTTCAGTCCACTGAGCTACAGCAGCCAGGGCTCATCTCAAATTTTAATGAGTCATTTAATTAATTTAGTTGCTATGGGGTACAACAGGTTAATTACTCTAATTTCATTTTTTATATGTTAGTCTACACAATAAGAAGGGTTGCTTTCTGCTTTCAAGATATGGAGACTGATATATTGCAAATAAATTATTGACTCAATGTCCAACTTTTACTAAATGCTTAATAAATGCCACCTATGTTGATTCTCCATATTTTGTGATTATTTTAGTATTTGGCATTTTTGCAAATACCTAATGGTTACAAATAAACCCAGTTACATGAAATAAGGCAGAAACATGCCTAAAACATGCTCAACATTTACAAATCATCTGTAAAAAGGAATAATATGCCATATGCATCTGATAGGCCAAATCGAATTGCAGTCTTTCATTGTACCCTAGATGCTATCAATTATATGACACACTAGTTTACTATTGAAAATGCTGTCAGTTCAAGAAGGACAGAAGGTGACAGGACACTCATAGGACACACTCTGATTCTAAATTAACATGTGAAAAGATACATTGTAACCTCAGTGAAATATTGGCTTCTGGAACCTAATCATACTACTACTATAGTTACTTGTATTTGTTCAATCACTTAACATTTAGAACATTACACAGTGTGTTTTAAAAACTTAATCGAATTGTGTTTACGTTTTTAATCAAATACTTACTATTAACTTCTCAAAAGTAATTCAGAAATAACCAAAAAAAAAGTACCACTTAGTAGTTGTATGCTGAATTCCAGTGAAATTTATCACCGTTCAAAACCTTTAAAACACCGAACCAAACCACTGAGAGAGTCTTTGGTCTCTCAAGTTGATTCTGTACCTTTATTTACGAACACCTTCGGGCTGAGGGTTGATACGACATCACTGCGTCTGTGAGCTGCGAGCCTGTGGTTTGTGAGCACACAACACAATGCAGACAGACTTGAGTGAGCTGCAGGCCCAGAGGGCCTGCTTAGTGGAGGATGGGTGGTGACCTGCACTTCAGCCGCGGGCACTACCGTCGGCACATGTGAACAAAGTTTGGTGAAGTGCAGAACGTCTCTGGGCACGGGCTGAGGTACTAAAAGCTACTGATTTTCAGCAGTTGGTTGGCATTTTTGATCATCGATGAGAAAGTCGTTTGCCCCCGAATGTCCCGTTAGGTTTGTGGTGCCCCTGACCTGGCACGAAGGCCCCCTGCATGCCGACCGACACAGGGCGTGACTCTGGGCCAGCTCGACTGCAGTCACATTAACACAGCGTTTCACTTTCGCTTTAAGCCTCCTGTACCTCTCGAGTTCTTGAAGATGGAGGAAATGCTCTTGATAAAAGGAAAATCTGAATTCTCTTACTGATTTAACCAGTATAAAGCTGAGCTGGACTGCTGAGCTTTAATCGTATTACCCTCTATTTTGTCTACTTTCCAAGCGTTAATGTTAATTCATTTGTAAGATGCTTGGAGATTCTTTAAGTGCAAACTTTGCACAAACAGCACTTTACAATTAGATGTGGGTGGAATCAAACTTCAATAAAATGTCTGGATGTTAAGATTATCACCAGATTCTTTTCTTATTAGTATTATGCTAGAAAAACAAAGGCAGTTCTATCCTAACTAGCTGAATTTCATACATTAGCTCTACAAATCATTTTCATGCATTTCTGCTAAACCTGTGCATGTGTGGATAAGCATCTGATAACTCTGTTCCAGATCCCAGACAATGAAGACTTCTGTAAAAATGTGTCCTTGGCCACCATGAGAAAAACGACCAAGGCCCCGGAGCTGCAGCCCCACCACCACCACCACCACCACCACCACCGGCACAGGCACGGCCACAGGCATGGCCACAGGCATGGGCACGCGCATGATAAGCACGGCCAGCCCTCAGAGAATCAGCATCCAGAAGCACCACATGAGTCTGAGCATCCCCCTTCTCTGAGCCTTCACCACCACCATAAGCTCAAGGGCCCCCAAAGACAGGGTGACCATATCAACTGTGATGTGCCAGGGAGTGAACCACTACAACTTTCTTCACAAAAGAAACCCTGTGGAAGGAGATGTATAAATCGATTACTCTGAAAGTTGCCCAAAGATTCAGAATTAGCTCCTAACAGCTGATGCTGACATTGTCGGCATCTGATATTTGAAAAAACAGGGTCTGCAATCACCTGACAGTGTCAGGAAAGCCTCCCCTCTCTATGCAGCTGACAGGGGCTGTGGGCAGAGGAGAAGGTCATTGAATCTTGTCAGTGACGTTCGCCTCTAGCCCCCTGACAGGGGGGTCAGGAGATCCAGCCCACAGAAGCCAGCACCATCTGAAGCTGAAAAGATAAGGCAGAAATGTGAGCATGACCTTCAAACTAAACATTTAAATTGGATACACTCCCAAGTCAATCTCACAATTTCACTTTTGGCATTTTTTTTCACTTTTGGCATTTTTATAAGCTACTTAATAATGATCAAAAATTAGGAATTGGATTTGTGCAAACATGAAGAAATCTATTATGCTGGCTTCCAAATTTTAAGATATATGCCAAAGAAAATTTTGACCCAAACCATTTGTCTTAAATTAAGGGGCAACTGAAAGGTGATTGCAACATTTGGTTAATATGTCTTTCTTTTTCTTTTTCCAGCTTTCTACTTGCCTCAATGAGAACAGGAACATAAACTATGACCTAGGGGTTTCTGTTGGATACTTGGCAATTAGAATGGAGGAAGAAAAACAAAGACATGTTTTCCATTTTTTCTTACTTGTCAAAACAATATTACTTTTGTCTTTTTAATCTTACAGTTTTAACTGATTAAACCTTTAAAGGAAGAAGTGAATTCTGTCTAAGATCGAGAAACACTTAACATATGAGTATTTTGCTATGACTACCTTTTAAATCTCCATTTATACTTTTTTACTAAGACTGAAATCTTGACTTTTACTATTGCCTGTGAAAGAAGGCTTTATCTATTTTCTTTACTTGGCATTATATCACGCTCTTTAAAACCTGAGAATGCTGGTCTTGAGAGAGATATGGGGAAAGATAAAAGAATGCTGTCTATCTTGTGGTTGCTTAGAAAGTATTTCCATAGTCAATGATGGTTGAATAGGTAACCTAAGGCCTATGAACCTGAATTCCTTTATGGCTAATACTGTTAAGCAAGAATGCAGTACACAGTTGGCCAAAGTGTGGATTTATTTCAATAAACTCAACTTAAAAAGTTTAAAGCTGTCTCTGTCATTGTTATTATTTAGGCAGTATGTTATATTGACAATAGAAGTAAAATTTTCAACTACTTTTAAAGAAATTAAGTAACAGCAAATGAATTTACTGCTATACTTAAACCCGTCTACGTTTAAGGTGAGAGTCTTTGCCAACAGAGAGGCGTTGCTCTAAGTTGTGAATGGTGTTACGAAGAACTGCAATCTCCTTGTTTTTTTCTTCTTGAAGGTGTTGAAGCTTCTGAATGAAGCAGAAAAATTTTGTTATTGCACTCCAGAAAGAAGAAGATTAAGTACAAGGGACAACAAAAACTAAATTTCTAGTTGAAGTAGAATTAGACATTGAAAAAGACACATTATTTTGAAGAGTATTACACTATTGTGGGTCTTAAGCGGGTAAAACTGGCGTGAGGACGCAAAACCCACAGCAGCACCGACTGCTTCAGTTTGTTCCCCTCCCTGCAGAGCGGGAAGGGACAAAGCACAGTCAGGGAGGAGCGGAACAAAAAGAAATCCCTGTGCCCAGCGGGCTTCAGAAGTCAGTCAACCTTAGTTCCAAACTTGCATGGAACTCCTTACATAATCCAGTCAGAGGACTTCTGCTGTGTTTTCAGTAACGACCAAGATTTACTGGTTACATTGAAAGTGGCCTTTAAAGATGATTAAAATCTAGTATCTGATTGTGTGATACATTTTAAGAAAAATTCTGCCCTGGCTGGTGTGGCTGAGTGATTGGGTCGAGCGCTGGCCTGTAAACCAAAGGGTTGCAGGTTGGATTCCCAATCAGGGCACATGCCTGGGTTGCAGGCCGGGTCCCCAGATGGGGGCATGCAAGAGGCAACCACACATTGATGTTTCTCTCCCTCTCTTTTTCCCCTCCCTTCCCCTATCTCTAGAAATAAATAAATAAAATCTTGGAAAAAAAGAAAAACTCAGCTTTTATGAAAGGAAACACACTGAGAAGATTTCTTTTCTTAAGCAACAGCCATGGGAGAAAATCAACATACCCTCCTGTAGATGCTCTGTGGCAAAGCAGCAGAATCTGGATATGGTTTTGACTTAGCTTGAACTCTTGCTAGTTTGGCATCAAACTGAATCAAGTTTAAAAAGAAAGTTATTGAAAACATTCTAGTTAATTAGAAACATTTGTCTCCATAAATAGAAATACAATCCTTTATATCCTTCAATATTTGGTCTGTAATTTAAGTATAGTCTGCATAACGGAAGATAGAAAAGTCTTTCTTAAGAAAGAGCAAAAAACACCCCAACGAGACTAACCCTGGCTGCGTGCTCAGGCTGCCGGAGAGGCTTTTTAAAAGGACCAAACACCGGGCACTACCTGAGAGATTCTGGGTGGGGCTAGCGTCATCGAGACATTAGGTGTTTCTATCATGCAGGGTTAATAATCTAGTTAAAGAGAAAGAAAAATATTTTCACATTACTTTGTACTTTTGTAAAGAAAATGTAGTGTAATTAACTGTCACATGCCCTTCTGTACAGACTTTGAGGCTGAATAGTAAAATTTGGATATGCTTTTGCTGATTTAGTTTGAACACTTTCTAGTTTGACATTAAACTAGATCAGGTTAAAAAAATTCTTGTAAGGCCATTCTTACAGGTCATTTTTTTTGCAAAATCTTCCATTATAATTTTCTCCTTATAATTATAATTTAGTGTAATTTCCCTGCAGACTAGGAATAAACTCTGTGAGACCGTATTCTAGTTTGGGGAGAGAAGTGGATACTTACAATGGAAACATGTAGCGCAAGGAGTTCTGTATGTCAGCCACACAGCAGACTTGGGCTAACGGGGCCCAAATGGCACATGAAACACACCCCCCAAGGAAGGGATTAGAAGTTGAGGGTATATCGGGAAATTTGGCCTCTGTATCCCACCGGGCCCTGCAGCGCTTTCTGTGGGGTGTGGGTACCCTTGGCCAGAGGCAGTGGCGGCAAAAAGCCTCTACACTCAACCCTTTTGCTCAGTGATTATACAGTTTTCAACACCGTACCTCACCAAGAGCCCCAGGGACACCAAACTTTCAGGAACATGAAAAGTAAGTTTTCTTAACTAGTGGTGAACTATGACAATGTAAGGTAACATGTCAGGCTGGGGGATGTGGTAAAATAGGATGGAAAAGAAGATTGGTAAAATCCAGGGAAAATTTTTAAAGAACAAATGTATTGTCACATATTAGTATCTTTATCTTTAGATTTTGACAGCCGGTCAACCAACCCACTGAAAAGGCTTTCCAGCAAAGAACTGGAACGTCAGCCTTTAAGATGCCCTATTTGAAGTTCCTTTAAAATTTTAAAAAAACCTTGTTTGTCTACCCTATGATATGTATTTTTGTACACCTTTATTAGGAAGACATTTGTCTCTTTTTATCTCGCATAAAGAGAGAGGAATTACTAGTTGGCTCACCAGGGCTGCACGATTTCTGCCAAGGAGAGAGTAATGCCAGGGATAAGAAACTCACCCCCCTGTCGGAAGGAAGTCCTGTGAAGTTGGGTAGACTCAGCTATAAAAGACGGGGGATCCCTGGGTTATCTGACCCCTCTCTCGGAGGGAGGCAGGCCTTCCCTGGAGCCCAGGACCTTCAGAATGACTGAGTCCCACCTTCAGGCCGAGTGCTGAAAGGCAGCCTCGCTCACCGTCACAGAGGTGTGAGCGCTGCCTGTGGCGGAGGAGGAGTGGGAGTGAATCCACCTCAGGGTGACGGAAATGCTCACACTGTGGGACTGAGGGGGCGTCCTCACAGTTAGTGGTCCGAAACGTTTACCTCTAGCTGTAGCTTGATGATTTCACTTTGTTTTTCCTTTTCTTGATTTCTTAACTTTCCATTTAACTCTGAAATTTCCACCTCCATTTTCTCTATCAGCTCTTTATTCTTTTCTTCATTTAATTCAACTGAAAAAAACAAAAATAAGTGAAATTAATTCACCTTAACACTTAGAAATCTTATAAGCTTATATAGTTCTTCAGCATTTTAAATGATCCACAAAGAACTAAATTTTATTGATAAAAACATGAGGATCTTTCTGGAAAAAGTTCACCCATTGTTAATACATGTATATGAGAAAACAGGTGTGATTTTATCATAATTCTGAAAGTTTTTGTTATCGAGAATGCGTTGGCCTTCTGAAGTGAACTGGAAAATGTTCCCTGTCTTTTGTTTGTTAATCATCTGAAAGAGTTTGTGGAAGACTGGCATTACTTTTCCTGGAATGTTTGGTAAAATTTCACCAGGAAAGCCATCTGGAAAGCATTGCTGGATAGAGCAATGCTTTCCAGCAATGGAAAGGTCTTTGGATTGCTGAGACCTATCCAGCACACTTAGAAATCTTATAAGCTTATATAGCTTATAAGATTTGGAGGTCTTTGGTCTTCCAAAGACCAAAAGTCTTTGGATTTCATGACTTGGAATAGTTCTTTCCAGCCCCTTCTTGCCTGCAAGGACTCTTTTGAGAAATCAGCTGACAGTCTGATGGGAACTCCTTTGTAGGTGACTGTCCCCTTAGCTCTTGCTGCTTCTAGGATTCTCTCCTTCATTTTAATCTTGGCTAATGTAATTATGATGTGCCTTGGTATGTTCCTCCTTGGGCCCAACTTCTTTGGGACTCTCTGAGCTTCCTGGACTTCCTGGAAATCTATTTCCTTTGCCAGACTGGGGAAGTTCTCCTTTATTTTCATTCAAAAAAAGTTTCCCATTTGTTTCCCTCTTCCTCTTCTCCTTCTGTTACCCCTATAATTCGGATGTTGGAACGTTTAAAGATGTCCTGGAGGTTCCTAAGCCTCTTCTCATTTTCTGAATTCTTATTTCTTCCTTCTTTTCTGTTTGGGTGTTTTTTTTTCTTCTGGTCCACGCCCTTGATTCGAGTCCCAGTTTTCCTCCCATCACTACTGTTTCCCTGTGCATTTTCCTTCATTTCACTTAGTGTAGCCTTCACTTTTTCAACTAATTTGTGACCAAATTCAACCAATTCTGTGAGCATCCTGATCACCAGTGCTTTGATATGTGCATCTGATAGGTTGGCTATCTCCTTGTTGCTTAGTTGTACATGCTTTGGAGCTTTGATCTATTCTTCCATTTGGGCCATTCTTTTTGTCTTGTCGTACCTGTTATGTATGAGGGGGTGGGGCCTTAGGTATTCACCAGGACGGGGCAATCCACGTGGCTGTGTTGTGACGCTGCATGTGGGGGCAGGGGTCCGAGAGGGAATAATGGCGCTTACTCCGTGCTCTGTTGGATTTCAGTCCTTTCCCCCACTTCCCCCAAGCAAACTGGGACTTTTTGGTGCTGATTCCCGTGTGGGTGGGCTTGTGTATGTTCTAGGACCCTGTGCATCTCTCCAATGAACTGTCCCGTGAGGCTGGGAGTCTCTCCTGGAACCTCAACCATCACAGGTGTTTTCAATTGGTGTTTTGAGGGTTTATTTCCCTGCGCTGGGACACTGGGTTAAGTGGTCTGTCTCACTCCCCAATTTTGCCTGGTTTATCTGTGTACCAATGGGGGACCACCCAGTCCATCAGCCGCCTTGTGTGCAGTGCCTCGCTTTACAATTGCCACCTCTCTGGGTCTGCCCATTGGCACCCCACACCCAGGGTCTGCCCGCTGCTGTCTGGCCTGCCCAGGGTTTGTCAGCTCCTGCCTTGTGTGCCTGGTGCCACTGCTGTTTTTGCCTCGACCCCTCTCTGCCTGGCTGCCCGACTCCACCCCTCCTACCAGTCTGGATGAATGTGTCTATTTTAACTCCTTGGTTGTTGAACTTCCATACAGTTCAATTTTCTGTCAGTTCTGGTTGTTATTTTTTTTCTAAATTATTGTTGTCCTTATTTTGGTTGTGCGAGGAGGCACAGTGTGTCTACGTACACCTCCATCTTGGCTGGAAGTTCTAGATTTAATTTCTGTAATAAATAGAGCAATCCAGATTTTCTATTTCTTCTTGTGCTTTTTGTCCTTCACAGCTGTCTGCCTTGTCAAAAATTTCAAATTCATTGGGAAAAAGACATTAGCTTATGTAGTTAATTATGAGTTCATTCACTTTTTAAAGTTTAAAGTGATTTTCCTTTCACATTTCTGATAGTGCTTAATTAAAAGTTTCTCTATTTTTTCTTGTTTAGCCTTGATGGGAGTTAATCATTTTATTAGGTTTTTCAAAAAATTGTGAATCTGATTCTTTATTATGTATGTTTGTAATTTCATTAATACCTGACTTCCTTCTTTCTAATTTCTTTGGTCTTTGTTTGATATTTTCCCTCTAACTTCTGGATATAGGTATTTAGATGACTAATTTAAACATTTTCCAGTGTTTGTATGTAAGCCTATGAATACACTCAAAAACACAGCTTTACTTGTGCCCCACAGTTTTGCTGTGTAGTCCTATGTAAGTCAGTTCAGGACCCTTTAGGATTCCTAGTTTAATCCACGAGTTATTCAGAAATAATTTACCAACATATGGGGATTTTCTAATTACCTGCTTCTTAGAGGACCAGAAGTAACTGCAAACTCCCTTTCTAAAGTGGCCGGTTGCCGCCGCAGCCCCTGCGGTAAAGGTGTCAGAGTTCCGTTTCTCCACGTCTTCACTAACACTCGCTATTGACAGTTTTACAAACATCTCAGCAGTTCTAAAAAGTTCCAAGTAGTTTTATCTCAGTGTGGTTTTAATTTGATTTTCCTGCTTACTCATTATGGTGAACATGTTTTTATGTGCTTATTTTCCATCTGTATATCTTGGGGGAGGTGCTGTTCAAATATTTTGCCTTGTTGGGTTGACTTATTATTATTGAATTGTTAAGAGTTCTTTCATATCTTGGATGTAATTCCTTTATCAGATATATGTTTGCAAGTAAACTCTCCCAGTCTGGGGCATGTCTTTTCATCTTATTAACAGTGTTGAAGGAAGGAAGTTAATAATTTTGATGAAGCTCAACTTAGAATTTTTTTATTATTTGTCCTTTTTGTTTCTTCCCAAGAAGCTGTGCCTAACTCAAGGCTGCAAAGATTATCTTTTATGAACTCTTCACAGTTTTGTAGATGTAGGTTTACTTTTAGACCAGTCATCCATTTCAAGGTGATATATATTATATGTACATAAATATGGTCTCATTAAGAAAAATTTTTAATATCCTCATGAAACTAGTTAACTAGCAACACAAGTTCATGAGGTTCTGTTTTACTAAAGGAAGAAAATTAAAATAGTGAAGTTATAATCAATATGAATATATAAATATCAGTTATTAATTATGCATTTTATATTACTTTTATGAGAATATTGTTTCACATAGAATAATAAATGCAAACACCATGAATCCAATTTAGAAGTGTTATAATTTAGGTGAAAACCTAAAGTGAAATACATCAAGGCAGTGTTTTTTCAAGAATACTGGGTATTACTGAAAAAGTTTATATATGCATTTGAATTGTTTCATGGTATCTTAGAATTCAGTAAATAAAAAAATACCTTACCTTTTTTTTGCATATCCTGACAAAGTTTCTTTATTTCTACCTTATGTACTTCTTCTCTGATTTTCATTTCACTCATAAGTTTGGCAATATTATTCTTATATTCCTAAAGATTAAAATATATATTTATTCTTCAATTTAAATATGTGTGCGCTATTTTTGAATGATTAGAAAGGTAAAATTTTCCAATTTTATATTAACTTTTGATACGTAATCATATCTAGAAGGGAAAGATGCTATTCACTGTTAGAATTATCAGCTTTGAGAAGGATCAATTTTTGGTCCAAGAAGACAGAGACCATCTGAAGACAGTGTCTTTTTATTTTTGGTTTCTGAATACTCATCACTAGTGCTTAGCATATCAGAGACTCTTAAAATATTTTAATTATGTGAATGCCATGACAGCATTAAAATATGTCCAATAAAAGCCAAAGCTATGCTTCAGAGCCAATAGTAGTCACTATTCAAAAGTCAGTAAGCTAACCCCAAAGTGGAACAAATCCCTTTGAAAGTGGGCTGAGCTTTTATGTTTCTAACACTTACATAAACATTCCTAACTCCCAGAAGAAGATGAAGCATCACCGTTTTAAGAATTAGCTCCATAAGGCAGAGGCTAGAAAAGGATGGACTTGGGAGTGGAGAAGTACTCGTAGGACCCGAGACCAGCTCCTTTGGTGGTGGAAGCACAGAGGTGAGGTCTCGTGCTGAACTGGGGGAGGGATGCTGAGAAGGTGATGGAAGAAAAGGTCCCCAAAGAAAGGATTGACAATTTTCCCAGTGGCATGCTCCTGCTTAAAGAAATCACTCGCAGGCTTAAGATGTAGAAGAAAAGGAAAGCGGTAAGAAGAGTGAAGTAGGATAGTAAGAAAGAGACAGCAATGGAGGCGAGTGGTCACAAAAAGCCTCTAAACACTATAAAAGACAGGAACTTTTAAATCATTGCTGTTTTCTTAACTCCTAGTGTATATCTCCTGATATGTATTTGCTGAATAAATGAGAGTGCCAATAAAAATTATTTAAGTCAGAAGTTCTTAGCTTAGACCCAGTTAACAGGCTTTCAAGGATCCATCAACTTCCTGAAATTGTAGGCAAAATTATACACATACATGTGTGCATAAGTACTCTGGAACATTTTTCTCAGACAGGGTTCAGAGCCTCTAACAGATTATTCAGTATACGAAGAAGGTAAAAGAGTCTAGATCCCCCCTGGCTTACAGAAGTTCAAGGGGATATAGTCTAGATTTGTACTGTGATACCCTGCCAGACAAGTTGCAGAATGGCCAAGCCTACCAACCACTGGCTTTAAAGGAAGTTCTGCAGGTGAATTTGGGGTGAATCTCATGAACTGCCATTCTTCATGTGCACATGTCTAGATTCCTATATACACAACTACTAAGTGGCTTTCACAAACTACTCCAGACTCAACGGGGTGCACTAAGCAGTTACTACTCTAAGAAATGAGAAGACAAATCTATATATCTTTTCATTCCCCATTGACTTCACAGCCTGAAGATTTCACCACTAAAGTGGAATGCTTCCATTAATTCATAAGACCCAGGATTTTCACTGCAACCTTCAGGCATCGGGGCTGTACTGCTATCTGGGCTGGGGCTCTATCACACCAGATTCTTCTGTCCCACTTCAGCCTGGGCCAGTCCTTCCTCTCTAAAGGAACCAAGTCCCAACAAGGAATAGCCTCTGGTTGCATTTTTGTTTTATAAAACTTAAGGATTCTCTGTCTACAAGTTACAAAACCTCTCCCAGTCCCATAACATGGCTATTAAGTACTTCCTGAGTTTGTTTCTGGGTAGTGGTTTTGCATATGTTTTGGATGCGACTGGAAGTTTTTGTACTAGAGATTTCTCATTGGATTGAGGTCATCTTTAGTTTGCTTTGGATAGCAGCTGACTAAGAAGCTCAGAATCTTGGATTGTGGTGTTTTCTCAATTTTCATTCTTCTGAAAACCCCTATGGTATTCTAGACAAAGCAGTATTCTATGGCTTGAGAAAGGAGGCAAACATTTCTCCCCCTTCTCTGCCCCAGTTACACTCGGACTTCACCATCTATTGTTGGGCTCTACAGGCAAGATATGAAAAGGACAGGAGAGAACAAAGGGAAAACAAATGGTGGGACATATTCCAGAGATATTTAAATTGTCTCAAAATGGTGATGAGAAGCTACGTTTTCCAAGAGCACAGCCAGACGCGATTCACTACCTCTGAAGTGATGCCCGGGCAGGGTTTTAGGGTGAGACTGTGTTCCCGCAGAGGCCCCTGGAGTGAGGAACCAGACTGGATGTAGAGATGATCCAGCAAACTGAAGTTCTGAGTCTGACACAGAGCCACCCAGAATTTTGGAAATCTTAGGTCAGAGTGTGACACACTGGCTCTTGGAAGATGAGAATAATAAGCGCAATAACCCTCCCAAGGGGCAGACGGGTGGGAGCTGACATTTACCGAGCACCTTTCATTTGCCAGTCATCATGCTACGTGACAGAATCACTATCACTCTGCTGTTCTGACAGGGAAAAAAGAATGTCACAGAGGGTGTGACGGTCCCCAGGAGAGAATTAACTGGTGATTTACTGCTCCTTCACGTCCACAGAGCAATGAAATTGTAATGTATTACTCAAATCATAAAGATTAAAGACTCATTTATTTTATGGTTAAAGAAGTTTAAAAGTGCTTGCTTGAGTAAAAACTCTGTTAACATAATTTTCAAACAAGTAGCAGAGTGGTTGCACCTCTTTTTGGTAGAAAGACAGAGTGCAAGTGACACAGTAGCATATCACAGCACGCAAGACGACGAGAGTCCTCAAAATTTCTGTTTCTTAAAAAATTTTTATGGATCCAAAGCTCCAGCACACACATATATTCACTCTATAAATTGTGGCATCTTCAATAATGAAAACAACCACTTTTATTTTCTAATTTGAGAATCCAATGCTCTACAGGGAGTTGAGTGATATAAAGATACATAAACGCACCTGTTCATGAGATTTTAACTTTTCTTTCATAAGATCAGCACTTCTTTTTAGTTGTTCATTTTCACCTGTGTGAACATCATCAGAGTATGTTGACATACAGCACTTTTCAATTACTATGAGAGTGTATTCCACATTTCAAGTTGCCATGCATGCATGTATCCATCACCTGCAAACAGTTCTACTACACATCGACGACACACGCACAGAGGGCATGGGACTGGAATATTGAAACACAATTATTATTGGTCTTCAAAGAACTCCCAGCCTGGGTGTGTAAGTAGTTATGATATGTCATGATTGCTCTGCAATGGCTGTGTGTCTGAAATACGGTGGGACCTGTGGAAGGACAGCCTAAGTCAGGAAATGACGTACAGAGGAGGAGCCACTTGAGCTGAGCCTCACCCCACTGGAGGGCATTTCAGATGCAGAAAACTGTACAAGACTTTGGTCTTGACTGAGCGCAGCAGGTTTGGGAAAATTGCACTTCGAGTACAGTATTGTTGGAGTGCACACAGTGAGGAACATGTGCTAAATAGTCTGGGGCCATATCCTAATAGGAAGCAGACTTAGTCTATGGGAATGCTTCAAATTTTATTTTACAGGGTCACCAAAAAATTTCACAGAGTCATCAAAGAATTTTGAACAGTGAAGTATTTATAGTTAAAGAGATTATCTGGCAATTCGTATAGGATGATTGGGAAGGTTTTGAACCTAGAAGAATGGATATCAGGAAAGTTATCAAGTAAGAAATACCAGGAGCCCAAGTTAGGTCAGTGGCAGTAGGAGACTAAAGGAAAATGAAGGTAACTATTCAGATGATAGAATTAGTAGGAGCTTTAGTGATTAGATAGCAGAGGCAAAAGAGAAGGGGAACCTCTGCCTTTTGGGTTTCTGGTATGGTAACTGAAAAATCCTCAACAGTTCAGGAAAATTAAAAAGAGGAGATTTTTAAGAGAGAAAGAATAGATCTGGATCTTTACCATGCTGCACTTGAAATGGTTGAGAGATCCAGGACAATGCTGCTGGTTGGCTGAGAAACACGCAGGGGTGGCCAAAGGAAGAACAGCCTATAGGAAGACTGAGAAGTATCCAGAGATGCAGGAGAGAGTGGTACAAAGACAAGAGGTTAAAGGGGTCACAATCAATGGCAGTAAATGCAATACATAGAGTCCAAGTGAAAGTACTTGGAATGAAAACTTTGGGAGATGCCCAACTGTTCTAAGTTAAACACTAGGTAAAAGTGAATAAATAGAGACATCGATTGCAGACTATTATTCCCTTGAGGTTTGATTGTAAAAGGAAAGAGTGAGGACAATTGAAGGGAATAAATCCAAAGTCAAGGGAACTTTGTTGTCTTGTATGCTTCAAAGATGAAAGATATTGTGTGTGTGTGTGTGTGTGTGTGTGTGTGTGTTTGGTGTAGGGGTGGATGTAGAAGATGGTACAGGGGAAACAAATGGTAATGGAAAAAATGCAATCAAAATAATGTAAAAAGCCCTAGCTGGATTGAGTGCCAGCCTGTGAACTGAAAGGTCGCCAGTTTGGTTTCTAGTCAGGGCACATGCCTGGGTTGTGGGCCAGGTCTCCAGTAGAGGGGTATTCGAGAGGCGACTAACTGATATCTCTCTCACATGCAGATGTTTCTCTCCCTCTCTTTCTCCCTCCCTTCTGCTTCCCCTCTCTCTAAAAATAAGTAAAAATTCTTTAAAAAATAATTTTTTAAAAGATAAAAGAGGACTGAGTTGTTTAAATGCTGAGAGAAATGGCCAGTTGAAAGAGGAAGATGAAAGACAGAGAAAAGATGGAGCAACTGAAGATGCGACATTCCAGAAGACAGAGGTGAAGAGAGACGAGTGTCCGAAATGGCCAAAAGTCAATGAGTGTACTGTACACCTGAGCTCTCTGTATTTCTCAATATGCTAATTGTAGTTCATTTAAAAAATCCTTTCCCCAAATTCCATCATACTGGTAAAACTGGTAATTAGAGGACTTTACTGTTCAGGGAAAATGGGCATTATCTAAATCTAAATAGTCATTCTGTGTTTTATTTTTGGTGTTGGGGCTGAGTGAGCTGGCCACAGACAGGGTGGGTGGCCTTCTGTCTGTGTGTTATTGAATTGTTAGGTGAGAGATTAGCATTAATTTGTCCTGAGGGCTTTTATTCTGCACTTAAATATTCTACATTTAAATTTAAACTGGGTTTCAATCAGTTTAAATTCAGTGTGCTATCAAACAAAACGCTTCCCACCACACCCCTCTCCCACCAATGAGTTCAACAGTAGTAATTTCCCTTCATCTCGGAGTTGCCTCCACCTTAAGGACATTTTGGGCAAGTTAAAAAACTCTCCAGTGATTTCCATTATGAAACATCCAGGTCAGTTTGATACTCTGATTTCCTATTTCAAACGTTAAAGTTTTCATAACCCTTGTCCCTCTCCAGATCTGTGGTTGGAAGGACCCAGGGGAAGTGGATGGAGGAGGAGCCTGGTTTTCCCTCAAATTGTTCTGCCCTCTCTCCAGTCTCCGGGGTTGGGGAGAGGGAATGAGAAGAGATTCGAGATAACTTCCAGACTTCTGGCATTCTCTGATGGTTGGGAATTGCTTCTGTGGGCCAATAAAAGGAAGAGTCTGAATTCACCCTAACTTTTGGTAACATGAGTTTTCTTTAGAATGTGAGAATATTTCACTTAAAAATTAAAATAAAAATATTGGGCTTCACTTACTAGTTTAATAGGAAAAATCCCACTCAACATCCTGTTACACTCCTCCCACACACAACGACCTCAACATAGTATAAAGCACTAGTCAAAACAGTGATAAATCAGTAAAGATTTCTGATGTTATCTGAGCCATGCTTTAGGAAGGTTTCTTATACAGTACAGTAATGTTGAGAGGGGACCTTGGAAATGGAGTCCGCTTACAAAACTACTGCAGAAGCATGGCTAAGAGGTAATGAGTGTGAGTTTTGGGGGTAAAAATTTGATAATGTTGGGCAGGAAGAACAACCAGTTACTGTAAAGTTTAGAGTCCTAGTAATAGGGAGAATGACGGCATTCTGGACAGAAAGAGAAAAGCCAAAACTATATTTACAGGGGAAGGTGATAAATAACAAAATATCCATTAAAATACAGCATTATCCATTAGAATGAAAGTAAAATTATAAAATCAATTTGTTTTCAAAGATTATAGTCAGACATTTTGAAGGGTCATATTTCAATACACAGGGCTTAATCTTGATGGTGGCTTCAGTTTTACAAAAATTTTGTTGGGAAAATGATCCTCTGTGTTTTTCTCCATGCTTCTAACTTCTGGATCGTACATATGCGTGCACACACACACACACACATCCTCATATTCTTAGCTATACCTTCTGCCCATTAAAAAAGTTTCATTCACCTCTGCTCATCAATTTGTAGGGCTCTTTGAATACTGCAGAGATTATACATTGGTATTTGAAAACAGTTTTTCAAATAATTTTTTTAAAACTTTTGTGTGACAAGAATAACATGCCAAGTTCTTTTCCATTGCTGTTATTGTTGGTGCCCTTGTCATAAGAAAGTCTCTTAGGTATGGTTTCTTCTTTATGTGTCATCTGAGGTCCCCGGACTGGCTAAGATATGTCCCAGTGCTAGGCTGTACAAGTTGTATCCTAGATTTTCTTTTAAGTTTTTATTATTTTCTTACACTAAAGTCTTTTATCCATCTGGAATTTATTTTGATGTGGTAGGAAAGAGTCCAACTTTCTTTTCATCTGGATGGAAAGCTAGCTGTACGTATACCTTATGTTAAAATGCCATTCTTCTTCCAATAAACTGAAATAGTCCTTGTGTCATATGTTACATTAACAAATACTGGCGCCTTTCTAGAATCTAGTTCTCTATTCTTTCCGTGGATATATTTTTCAATTTCTATGCCAATATCATATTGATTTCATTCTACGGTTTCAGAACATGTCGTTATCTGGTCATTGAAGTCCCCTTTCCCCTGAAACCTTCTCATTTTTCATCGTTTTCTTGTTCATTCTTCTGTATCTTATTTGTTTCTTTTGTCAAATTAACTTTAAGCTTATTTTATACAATCTTCTCCCCACCCAAAATTCAGTATTTTAATTGCATTAAATGTGTTTATTAACTGGAGGAAAACAGACATTTTAATAACAATAAGTCTTCCTTCTGCCAGGAAAATTGATCAACCCTCTAAATCAGGGATGTCAAACTCATTTTCACCGGGGGTCACATCAGCCTCATGGTTGCCTTCAAAGGGCCAAATGTAATTTCAACTCCTTAACAGTTAAGGAATAGTTATATTTATACAGTCCTAAAATTATTTCGGCCCTTTGAAGGCAACCATGAGGCTGATATGGCCCAGGTGAAAATGAGGTTGACACTGCTGCTGTAAATGTTATGCTACTTGCATATTATCTGGCTTTGGCATATCTATAAGTAGGCTAAATGGAACCACATGACTTCTCTGTGAATGAAAGCCATCTGCTGAAGAAATAGATAACCCCCTTAATACTTTATATTACACTTTGGTTGGCTCTATGTTGGCTCTCATCTATAGTACAGTCAACATAAGATTATTGTTAATACTGCTTTTTTCCATCATCCTACCAGACCCTGCATTAGATTTCAAAACATATGACTACTTCCTTAAGGTACAAGGCTTTTGTTACTCTGGCTAGAGTAGTGATAAATTCAAAGAGCATTTTGTATCACTGTAGAATCCACCTGATCCTGATATCTGACAAGTAATCTGTCTCAGACTTAGCCAAAAGCTACTTTAATTTCTTGGATTCTAATAATTTTGCAACATGTTTTTCTAAAACTGGTAATCTCCATTGGGCATCAAACAGGAAAATCCTTAAAAGTGCAGTTTTCAGATTCATTATGTACATATAGTGAGTCAGCTTTCTTTGGTATCATTGATGATTGAATTGCTTAGCTTTGTAAAAGTTCATTCCATAACCTAAACATGTTTACATCAAAGGTTCTTACTTGGCTGCCTGAGTAAAGGCTGTTCATTTAAACTGAGATCATCCACAAGTGGCATGTACTCAGATTCTGTACAAGTTTTTGTCTTGTACTAAATTGAGTATTTTTATTTTATTAAAAAAAAAATCAGATACTGATAGTTATATAACTGACAATTTTTTTGGTCCTATTTTGTTTTGCCTTGTTTTCTAAAAAATTTAGAGTTAATTTTTATGCAATACTGCACAACCGTTTGGAACCACTCCATAGCCTAAATAAGCAAATTAACCACACAATCTTGACAATCAAATGGCTGGAATGAAAGAAATGAAGTGAAATGAAATGAAATGAAATGAAAGAAAGCCGGGTAGTTCACACCTGTCACTTTGCCCCAACCAAGGCCTACAGAAGCACTGGAAAAATGAAATCAACGAATTGCTTCTTCCTGGGAGGGAGCACGGAATATCCATTTTCAGGAAGAGCTACTTAAAAATTTGCACTACCATACCTGAACAAAGATGGTAATGTGACGACTGGTCAATATTTGATACCCTTTTACACAGAAATACTGTATTCATTATTGAACTATAATAGACTTTCTGGAAATTAAATAAATTAGCTTTTGGTAGTTAAAAAGTTTTTCTGGTAGATGTTTTATAGAAACAAAATCCTGAAAACAGTTAAACTGAATATCATTTAAATCCTAAAATAAGAGGACTGCAAATAAATACAAACATTCATGTATTTTTTAAATACAAATAAGTGTATTTTGTCACAGAGAAGGGAGAATTTGTTCTGAGCCATCAGCATTGAGATTGGGAAATAAGAGCCAAACCACATGTGGAATGGGAATAAAACACTGGAAAAAATGAGCAGAACGCTAGTACCGCAGAGTGGAAAGCTATGGGCTATCTGGGGATCAGAAGCCTGCAGCAATCGGCCAAAAGAAAAGGCATTGGTGTGGTGTGGTTCCTCCTGTTACCCTTCTTAATCTCCAGAACAGCAATTAGTGGTGTACGGACACGGAGGTGAACCCTTTCTATACCACGGTTGCTTTTTGATGGTGTAAGTGCAAAGTCTTCTAACACAATGTCTGTATTTACCTCATTAACATTAAGGAAACATTTTAAGGGAAAGCAATGGCGGGGGAGTAAGAACTGATAGTAATTCTTAAAAAAAGTTAAATATGAATTAGAACATTATGAAGATAATAAAGAATAACATGCCAGATCAAATAAACGGCACGTCAGATCACTATTATATCTCACTATGTGAAGTGGTACTTTACATAGGTAAATACAAAAGTAACTTTACCTACCTATGTAAAGGATTTCATGCTAGAAGCAGAAGACTAAGGGGAGGGACCCCGAAGGCAGTTTAGTTTAACCCCCAGTCCAGGAGAAGTCCCACCGACACTGCGCCTCGGCTGGGTCCAAACGGGACAGCAGACCTGGGGGCCTACTGGGTGTCAGTGGGAGGCCTACTGGGTGAGCCTGCCTAGCAAGTCTGAAAAGCTGAATGTGTCAGCTCCGTTCACACAAACGTAGCCTTAGTCTGTGATGAAAACTTACACAGGAAACAATCACTGCAGTTCGAGCAGAATGTTCATCTTGTAACTATTCGACCAGTAAATACCTGCCCTTCAAAGCTGGGCGTGGGTTCCTAGAGACTGAGAACACTATCGTGACAGACTGTAAAACCCCGGTGTCCTTGTCAGAATGTGACCAAACTGTTCAGTTCAGCAGGGAATTTTGTATTTCATAGTCAATGAGGAAGATATTAAGTAGTAAGGAGTCCTCCCCTTTGCTGATAAATATATAAGACCAAATGAAAAGAAATTTACTATCAACAATGTAAAAACTCCCTCTCTTTAAGGGTGCTCAAATATATATTTTTAGATTTTATTTTTCCTAACTTACCTTTCAAATTCTGTTGATATTCAATTGTCTGTTGTAGCCCTTTTATCATATTATGAAGAGTTGCACATTCTAAAACAAAAAGACAAATTTGTTTGAAGATTATTTGCTTTCATTTTGGAATTGTTCTCTCAAAAGTGAACTACATAAAATAAAATAATACTTAATTGACAATGATCAGATCTTAATAAATAAGAAGTCAGGCATCTCAAAGTAAATTATATAACAATGACTTTGTCCTCACCCTTTAAGGCCGATGCAATTCAGGATTTACTAAAGATGTCCTAAGGCGCAGGAACCCAGGACACAGGGAGGCCCTCACTGGGCCTTAGCAAGAGCTGCCCCAGAAGTCAGGCACGCGTGGAACCGTCTAGGGACTCTGAGGAGTGTATCCCTGCGAGTTTTCCATGAAAGGACATCCCAAGGACAGAGGGTCAAGGCACATTAAGATAGAGAGCCAGAGCGGGCAAGGTGTCATTTGGGATAAGATAATGCCTTTCCTCCTCCCTGTCCTCTTACACTTTTATGCCTGAGTCCTAGGAAAACGGAGTGGCAATACACGGAGGAAAAACTCAATGTGCTGCTACAGGGCACCAGCACTTTGGTGCCAGTGACTTCTGCCGCAGTGGGGTCAGAGCCTCCCTTGCGAGTGTTGGTGCCCAGATACGTGCATAACGCTTTCAGTGTTCTCTTGGATATCAGCAGCCACGGCTAAACCTTTGATGGGGAGCAACAGTGGGGACACGTCTGAAACTTTACTCAGTCTGCTTGGCTGTAGGTTCCAGGGTAGCAGGGACTATTTTGTTTCATTTACCATTTCTTCCTAATCCGCAGGGCAGTTGTGGGCCATAATAGGCACTCCATAAATATTCGTGGAGTGACTGATTCACAGACAGGCAATACCAATGTAAGCCAAAACCAGAAAGGAGTAAGTAGAGAAACTCTAGTGTTAAAGTAGTAACATATATTATATTACTATTCTAAGAGCTTTGCAAATATTAAATCATTTAACCCTCTTAACCCGATAAGGAAGTTCCTAGCATTTGCTTTGTTTGCACATGAGAAAAGGACACACTGAAGGTTAGTAAATTGCCAAGTCCCACTTGTAACTAGGAAGTGGTGGAGCTAGAACGTGAACCCGGGCAGTGCAGCCCTAGTCTGATTTTAACTACCTCACTGACACCAAGAAGGTGAGCTCAGGAGAAATTCTTCACAGTGATTTGTATAAACTGAGGTTCTGGAAGGGGAGTGAGAACAGAACCAAAGACTCTTTGTGATAGTTACTGGTATCTACTGCATTTTTACTATAAGGTTAGGAAAAATAGGTTTCACTACTTTAAGTTTATAATTATACTAGCTAAATATACAATGTTCAGTAACTTTGTAACATTAACAATATTTTTTAAAAAAACATAACTTTTGCCCTGGCTGGTGTAGCTCAGTGGATTGAGCGTGGACCTGGGAATCAAACGACCATGGTTTGAGTCCCAGTCAGGTCACATGCCTGGGTTGCAGGCCAGTTCCCAGCAGGGGACGCACAGAAGGCAACCATACATTGATGTATTATCTCCCTCTCTCCTTCCCTTCCCCTCTAAAGATAAATAAAATCTTTAAAAAAACAACAAAAAACCCCATAACTTTAAAGTTGAAAGGCAATTTTACCTCTATACACTTGGCTTAATTAATAAATATTGAGCCTTATTCTTTCTTCCATTTTTACAGGCCCATGACCAATGGGCCCGTAAAACTGGTGTTTTGCTGGTGTGCACTGATGTGACATACTAACCAGCTGCCATTCTAATTGGGCATCTGTTTTGATGGTTAAATTGTAAATATCACATTTGTATTGAATAAGTTGCCTAGTTGTAATAATAGCACCATTTATTGAATGTTTGCTCTGCCAGGCATTATACTGCATTTAAGTGCATTAAAAACACCACCTCAGCCCTGGCTAGTATGGATCTCTGCATTGAGTGCCGGCCTGTGAATCAAGAGATCGCCCGTTCAATTCCCACGCAGGGCACAAGCCTGGGTTGCAGGCCATGTTCCTGTTAGGTTAGGCTGGAATTAGATAAAATTAGCAGGGAGGACGAGGCAGGCACCAGACAGTCTGAGCAAGGGAGATAGAAAAGTACAGAAAGTACAAAGAGTGCTGAACAAGATAAACCGCCTTGTGCATGATCTTGTCCTTGTAGAAACGTATCCATTGTTGCAAGCAGAGAACATAGCCATGTGTGTCCTCTCGGGATAGCCAATTGCTAACAGCTACGTCTGCTTCTGTATTTGCTTGCTTGCTCACCCCAATAAAAACCCCAGGCTGTAAGCGCCAGGCGAGACTCTCATCTACAGCCATTTTGGCACCGTGTCTCCGTTCGCCCCTGCGCAGGTAAAACTTTGGCCAATAAAGTTCCATCTTAAACTCCTGAAGGCTTCCGACATTTGTCGCTCGCATTGGGGTATGTTACATTCCCAGTTGGGGGTGTGCAAGAGGCAACCAATCGAGGTATCTCTTGCACATCCATGTTTCTCTCTTTTCCTTTCTCCCTCTTTTCCTCTCCTTCTAAAAATAAATACGTGAGATCTTAAAAAACAAAACAAGAACAAAAATGCCACCTCAGAAGTTGGAGTCATTATCCTGATTTTACAGAAGCAGCAAATCATCGATGGAGAGCTGGTTACCTGCCAAATATTCCCGTTAGTATATGGGAGGTAGAGACAGGAACGCAGGTTTCTCTCGTGTCAAATCTGTGCTCTTACTCTGCTTGTCCACTTCTTCCTCAGGGGCTGTGAGGTGGCTGATGCCACCATGGAACCGGGAGTCAGAGGAACTGGCTTAGACTTCCCTCCTTCATTTTCAAGCTGTGACACCCTGGCTAAGTTGGGTAGCCTATTTGAGCTTATATTCTTTATCTGCAAAGTAAAAGTGCGGGTGATACCCATCCTACCTCGTGTAGAAGACTGTTCTCATGCATAAGACTGTTCTGACAACCAAATGAGAAAATGCACTTTCTAAATTCACTCTCAGATATTTGTGGGGGTCGATAATGATTCGGCTCTTCTACCACCCACTGTGAGGCCTGGCCAGGGGGCCCTTGGCCAGAAGGAATATGTATTATTTTGGGAGCAGATTGTGACTCCTTCCTTCCTTATCTCCTTTTGGGAGCGGCCTCTTGACCCTTCACACACTGAAGTCATGGAGTCATACCTGCCCCCTTTGTCTGGGACCCTTACAGCTAGTGAGCCTCAGACGGAGGAGGCATGGTCTCTCTCTCACACCGCCCCGCCCCCGCCATTGGTGTGAGGTCCTGTGATGTAACAACTGCACGTCCACACCTGCTGGCCCTCTGGGCGATGTTTCCGGAGAATCAGAAACAGGTAAGCAGCTCTCCGGTTTGGGTCTGGAGCTCCTGTGCTGCAGCATTCAACACAGTTATGGCTGTTGTTATTTCTTTCCTTTATGCCCCTCGACAGTTTGTGTAGGTCTCTTTTCTTCCTTTATCATATTGCACTTTAGTTATTTGTGTTTTCTCCCACTAGACAGTAGACCCGTTCAGGAAAAGATCACGCCTTTTTATTTTGACATTCCTTGGATCTAACACGGTAACTATTTCGTAAGTGTTCAACAGTTTTTTTTTCTTGACTAAATGAAGGCACCAATACTGTGTGGGGAGAATGCAAAACTTCACCTGCACCTCACCTACACTAATAGACATGAAAGTATTTTGCAGAAGTTAAAAGCTCTATGGAGTTAAAAGATTCTGCTATTATGGTTTTTCACTTCTCCCCACCTCCTCTCTATCATTTCCACCACATGTCCAGACAAAATTCCCCCCATGTTCCATTTTTTTTCTCTCTTGCTGTTTCCCAGTAACAGAATGAGGGATAAATTACATTTGATAATACCCAGTTCATGGATGTTACTGTGTTAGCTGCTACAATAAAAAATGTAGGAGGCTCAGCTATCACTTGCTTTTTGAGTCTTTTAGAAGCATGAAATCAGTAATTCATGGAATATGGTAACTGAGGTTTCCTCAGCAACCAATCAGCAAACTAAAAACAGCACCCTGAAATTGAACATATACTGAATGTTAGAAATGTGCATTTCACAATTTGAACACATGGTGGCCCTCCAAACACGTCTTTTTTAAACAGCAAAAACTGGCTCAATAAGCAATTGTTTCTTATACATTCTAAAATAATGTCCCCACTCATTATTTTAGAATAATGAATTTCAATTTTCCTTGCAAATATTCACCCAATTATCATTCATATTGGACTTTATACTGAAATTTGAACAATACTTGTTCAATTCTTAAAAACCAGAGGTCAGAATATTAAGCTACTTATACTATCTAATTTAGAAAATCAGTGACTATCTTGAGCTCAAATTTGGGCTCTACCATTAATTAGCACTTTTCTCATTGACACCTATTTCATAAAGCAGTTGGAAATGTTAAGACAATTATGCATGAAAATAATGTTTACGGTAGTTGGTCCTCAACACTAATATTATTTACCACGTTGAAATGGCACAAATTCTTTTTCTGGTGTCAGATGTGCAAAATAAAATGTCACAACCTTACTCACTATTGTTGATCAAATTCAATCATCTATACAGTTTGTTCTTCTTTTCTAAATAAATTAATACACACTGGACTCTGTAAGGTGTCAGTTTTACTTGTTGGCTTATTTCCACTGTGTATTATTCAGTAAAAAGGTAGTTAGATTGAAAATAATTAACTGTTTAAAAAGTAATTATTCTTTCAAAGCTAAAATACACATGGTACACAAGTATAGTGCAAAGTGGCTCTCTCTCCAGTCCCTGCCCCCACACCAACCAGTGTCCCTTGCCCCAAAGCAAGCACCGCAGAGGAACACCACCTCCTCAGTGAGCGGCCCTCCCAGCAGGGAGCTCAGCTCCCTCTCAGGCACAGACTAGGTGCCGGTGTAGCTGAGGGACGGCCACTGGGAGCTGAGTGACGAGTGGCATGGGAGTGTCAAAAGATAGTGCAGCCCTGGCTGGTGTGGCTCAGTGGATTGAGCGCTGAAGCTGGGAACCAAAGGGTCACCAGACTGATTCCCAGTCAGGGGCACAGGTCTGGGTTATGGGCCATGTCCCCAGTAGGGAGTGTGTGAGAAGCAATCACACATCGATGGTTTTCTCCCTTTCCCCTTCCTTCCCTTGTCTTAAAAAAAAAAAGTCTTAAAAAAAAAGATAGTGCAGTGCATTAGCCTAGAACAGCCCATTTTTAACACTAAAATTTTTGACCCATCTGAAATTTCTTTTGACCTGTCTTGAAATTTCTTTTTGGAGGCAAAAATTCAACTGTATTTTTTCCCACAGTTTTGAAGGCCTGGATTGATTCTTGAATTTGCCATTTGTTAGCCAAGTGGCCTCAGACAGATTATTTAACTTCTTTTATCTTATTTTCTTCATTACTGAGGTGGAGTAATAATACCAATCTTATCTGTCTTTCAGGGCTATATTAAGGATAAAATGATAGTCTAGAGAATGCTCTGTGAATTTAAAATATTTCACAAATGTATGGGGACAACACTTATCACCAGTATACAAAAATGCACTCTCGTTAGAATTAGTAATATTTCTTCGGATAGCAAAGTAAACTAACCTTCTTTAAGTGAGACCTCCTTTATTTGCATTCCTTTTAACAAACAGTTAGTTTTTTCCAACTGCATATCCAGTATATTGTTCTTTCCAGTGGTTTCTATCATCTTCTGTAGAAGAAACAATGTATATCATTACCAAGTCAAGGCTGTCATTTGGCTTTCTTACCTAAGTGTATAAAGACTAATGAAAATACAAACCACTTTAGACCTGAAAGTATAATAATTAAGTCTGACATAACTTGTACCCCCTTCTTTCCAACTGTTCAACCCTTAGTCCTATGGTTAACAACTCCTTAAGCATACTTCCAGACTACTTTACGATTATACAGCTGTAGGGAAGGATAACACTGTACTCCGTCCTGTACTGGTTTGCACTCAGCACTATTACCTTGGACATGATGTCGTACAAGCACATACAGGTCTATCTCATTCTTTCTAACAGCTGCACTGAGTTTCATTTATGAATATTATGCCATTTATTTAATTAGTTTCCTATTGAGGAAAATTTGCATTTCTTCCACATTTTGCTCCTGCAGATAATTAATAAATGTTCCTGACTATATCTCTTTCTGGTATCTTTGTGAACTGTAAAATAGCTGCCATGTACCCGTCAGACACCAACAGAAATCACCAATTCGTGACCAGCCTCGTAGTGTCTACACCCACTTCCTTATTGTCGCCATTTCTGAATTTGTCTCAGAGCAACCCCCTGATATTAGGTTATTTAATCCATGAATATTACCATCAACATGTATCTCTAGGAGCTAAGACTCAACAATACAATCACCATACCATTATCGCATAAAAAATGACCATTTTTCTTATTTAAAATGTTTAAGAATATGATAGATATTTACAAAATAAGTTCTGAAAACTTTGCACCAGTTCCTCTCCCAGTGCTAAATCTCGTTCTCACTTATTTTGGTAAGAATCACTTGGTTAAAAACAAAACAAAATAATCAAGCTCACTGTTTGAAAAAAAGCTCATAATGATACCTCAAAATATCCATCACAATGAAAATTCTTCTATGACAATACTACATTGTGAAGATGAAAAGAAGAAAAAGAGAAGGATGATAAGGAGAAAACAGAGGTCGGTATTATTTCCCCTTTTCCTCTGCTTCATAAACCCACTCCCCGAATCTTTAATTTATCCATCTACATTTTCTCAACAGCTATTCCTGCTCCTCTCCCAGGCAGAGGTGGGGAAAACCCCTTAATAGATGCCTGTGGACTTGGTCTACCATGTAACTTGTCCAGAGCTGGGGAGGGAGGACTTCAAATGGGTCTGCTTTTAGGCAAAAGAGAAGGAAAGGGAACAGACAGACTAGGAGAGAGTAAAAAACCTTTTAGAGTTAATCATAATGGTGAGACATTGAGGGCTGAGTCTGCTTCAGTTCTCACTAAATCATTCCTGAGTTTATGGACATCTTAGGCATTTCAGTATGTATTTGCTCTTTAACTTTAGGAAACGTATATCAATTCTTCATTCCCTTGCCCCAGACACATTTAGATGCATTAGTATAAATGATCTGAAATCATATATACTTTAAATACATATTTAAAATCATAAAGGGCTTAGCAAAGTTTTCCATGATCTTTACCTGCTCACTTGGGGTCTGTACATTTTTCTTTCTTCCAGCTCCTATACACTTCAACTGTTGGATATCTTTACGTACCTTTTCTATCTGTGAGAAGTCATGAATGAGTTTGTCAAGATTCACACTGGTAATCTTTTTCACACATCCACTGCTGCTGTGATTCATGTCTAAACTAGTACAGAGTAAATAGTGTTAAAACAAATAAAATCTAAAGCACTACAAAAGTAGTAGTAACTCACACTAATGTTTCTTTACTCCACTCACAAAGCAGCGGTGTGAGCTGCGTTACACTCAGACAATTTTTGTTAAACCCATTAGCAACAGTCGAATCCATTAAGACTTCTTCATTCCTCTACACCCTCAGTGAGTTTTCGCTAAAGAAATCTAAAATTAGTGCAATGATATATATAAAAATTATTTGTCCCTACCATGCAAAAAATCAATTATGCCTCCATTCAACACTCATCTCCTTGCCATCAGCATGGCTTACTTAAAATCTGATGCATTACTAAATCTGATGAATGACGTTTAAATATGGGTATTCTCAATTTAGTGTATTTAAAACATTTGTTTAACTGTCATGCCACCAAGATTTTTTTTTGCTGTATTTCTTGGTTCTGTGCTTATTGCCATGGAATGGATTGTGAACCCCCTTCAAATTCACACAATGACGTGCTGAACCCCTGGTAACCCGCACAGAGGAAAGGTCACGTGAGCACATGGAGAGGAGGGGGCCCTCACTAGACACCAACCATGCTGGCACCTTCATTTGGAACTTCTCAGCCTTCAGAACTGTGAGACAATAAATTTCTGCTATTTAAGCCACCCAGTGTGTGGCATTTTATCGTAATGCTAGAGAGGAGGGGAACACACTTATTTTTCATATGTTGTTTGGTAACCTGTTTGGTAACCAAAAGACATATGGAAATTAATCTGCTCAAAGCAATCACTCCATATTTCTGTTCTCTTGTTATTTTGTCTAAGAGTAACCTTTGGGTATAGTCAGCTGACTGTTGAAGTGAAGAGTTTTGGTTTTAGTCCTACAGAACCAATCGTAAGAAATCCAGTAAAGATGGTGAAATTGACTTTTGCAAACCAGCCAGCACTTATATTTAGGGGCAAGAGAGTGTCTAAAAAAATCGAGATTAATACAATCTGAAAGTATGAGACACTTGCGTTCAGACTTTTCTGTAGCAAAGAAGGAGGGAAAATACAAATTTGAAATTTAGCCTCCACTGTAGGTGGAGCAAAGTGGCAAGCAGTCCACAGTGGAAGGTAACTGAAATCCCAAAGCAATTACTGAAAGTAATTTCGGAGGGTGTATCATTGTTTAAAACAAGGTACACCGAAGCACAGACATTGCTTGACAATTTGTTACTTCATTTAAAAAATCCCATTTCCTTCCTCTTTTTAATATTATATTCCTTGAACAACTATTAGGGGTTTTTAAATGAGAGAATTTTAGCTGAATATTTTACGTTTATTGAATTACTTTCTTGTGTATCAAATGTACAAGTAAAACGATATAAAACGATATTGTATTTTAATTAGTTAAAACTTGACCCTTAAGGCAGGAGAATTGGAATAGCATACCAAGAAAAATACAATAAAATTCTCGGGTAAAAATTAAAAAATCATCTCTATTTGATATATTGTTATTATTTAATAGAACTATATGATAATCTTAAATAGTTAATGCAAAACCCTCCTTAACACTTTTTTTCTTTTTGGTTCCTAGCATTTTCTATAAAAAAAGGTTTTCCAGGGTTTTGTCTCAGAACGTGGCTCCTGAACAAAATCCATTTCATTCTGGGCTTAGTTCTCCTCGGGTTGCTTTCCCCTCGCGAGGCCCCGAGAGTTTCCCTCGCCAAACCGTCCCCAGGCTTCACCGGCAGGGGTCGCTCGCCCTCCTCCGCCCCGCGCCAGCTCCTCCCCAGGGAGCCGGCGCCCTCCTCCACCGCCCAGCGCCGAGCGCCTCCGCGGCGGTGACCTGGCCCCCCGCCCGGGGCATCCGGCGACCCCCGGGCGGCTTGGGGCCCGGCCGGGTCTCTGCTGAGAAGCGGAAGCGGACTTGGGTCCGTCGGGGCCCAGGCTGCTAACGCCCCATAGGCGGCGCCCGCGCCGCTGACTTCTCCGGCTCCCCCCGCTTCCCCCGGGACAGGCTCGGCCGCAGCCCCCGCGTCCCTCCACAGCGCCCGCGGGTGGGCGCTCAGCCGGAAGCCGGGCTCCCCGGTCCCCCCACCTGCACCCCGCGTCCTCAGCGGGCCCTCGCCCACGCAGACCGAGCGCCGCAGGCGTGGCCGAGGTGCCGGCCCGAACGCTCTTCCGGCCCCGGGGCCTGGGGGTGTGGAGAGAGTATTTTCACACTCGGGGAAAGCGGGAACCGCGAATCCGCCGAGCACGGATCTGGGCTCCGGCGAGTCTCCGACTCCGGGGTCTCCACTGCGGGCGGGTCCGACGCCGATAGGCCTCCCCGCCCGGGGAAGCACGTTCCCGCGACTAAGGGCCCGCCCTCCGCCGGGCCCACGTGCGCTCCTGGCTCAGCGCCCGCCGCCAGCCTTTACTCCGTGGGCTTCGCTCCCCACTCCGCACCTACCGCTACTTAGGTATTCTCACGGTTTCTAGAACATGACTCACACACCAGTGTCTGCCAGATCAATAGTTATTTCTCTACCCCAAGAATACATCGCACTGATTTAAGTTTTGATTAGTGAGTCAGCACCATCGAATAAATAATAATCCTCCCTTATTCCAGTAACTGATAGGCTTATACAGTACCAGGGACTGTGGTAGTCAGTCCCAGGTGATGAAGATGAAAGCGTGAACACAATGCCGCGGGGCAGCTCGCGGTCAATTAATGGAAATGGTCTTCCATCTGGAGAGTTTCGTCTTGGTAGCCCAGGGGTTAAGGGTATGAGCTCAGGGTGGATCCGAGCCCCAACTTTGCCGCCTGGGTGACTGTGGGTGAGTTCTCAATTATACTTGCCTCAACTTTTGTACTGTAAAAGAGACATTAATAATAATGCCTACCTGATAGAACTGTTAAGATGACTAAGTGAAATGACACATTTTAAAAGTGTTTAAATGCAGTTTCTGGTGTAAAGTAAGTGTTCAAAAATATGAATTATAATTTAAATTTTTTGCTCAAAAACAGTTTGAAAGTGTATCCACTGCCAACTTTCCCCTATCTACTCTTTTTCAGTGGGAGATTTATTTTTATCAATTTTTGTTATGAACTCCAAAGTTTGGCCAGCAGAAACATGTAAACTATACTAAAATAACCCATCCATTTGATGTGGGGGTTAGCATAACATGGTGGCAAGAAACCTGGATCAAAGCCGGAAATCTGGGGTGGATCTTTGCTGTATACTATTCAGTAAAACTGGAAAGGTTGATTACTATTTTTTTGTTGTTGTTTTTAAATTAATAGTGTGGGGGCAACTTTGCCCTCAAGTACCCCTGTCCGCTACAGATGAAAGTAAACACTACCAAGACATGATCTTCTCGGGGAGGAGAGGTGGCCAGTTTCTCAGAGGAAAAAGGCCTGGAGCCCCTTCCTCCAGAGGCTTTTACTGGGTTGTAATACACAGGAATACAGGGCGGCAAGGATCAAAAAGTAGATAACATTTCAAAGGGCTTAGTCTGAGTTAGAGTCTGTCAGGAAGGGTGTTTGCAGAAACTTTAGGGTTTCCTGCTCAGACCCTTAACATATGAATGAAAGCACTCTTAGCAAAGCAGGTTTCCCAGGAGTTTTTAGGAGTTCTTTGTGATGCTAGATTTCCCTGGATCTGCTGTAGCAAGGCAAGGAGCTGCACCCCTCCCCATCAGGCTTTCAGGCTTAAGTGGATTAGAGCCAGGAAGCGCTTCTCCCAGAGGATGTGGGGACTTGGGCTATGTCTTTGTTGCACCCCCCTTCCCCCGTCCAGTCCTTTCATGATGGCTTCTCAAGCAATTGAGTCTGGCTTAAGTTGCCCCTCGCTGTGAGGAGTCTTATCCCTCTCTGACTATCCAACCATGCTTTGGGGGCAGGGAGACGAAACTGAGGCAGCGTTTGCTACCAGAGACAAGTTTTTGTTTCCTGTGGCTTGCATTTGGAGGTCACTCACTCATCCTTAGCCATGGTGGTAGTTACAATTTCTGAAACCAGGCAGAGTGGTCCCCAACAAACAGAGCTAAAATTTTAAGATTTTTAACTGGTCTTAAGATAAAACATTGCTCATCAAAATGTTTTGAAAGTGCCACTTTGTCATGTTCTTTTCTTCATTAGTTACACAAAAATTTACACCAGAGATATTTTAATTTTTAAAGATCATTTAAGAGCTTGCTGTATCTATCTATCTGATCTTTTAAGAGCTGAAACGTGAAACTTCCAGCTTGCCAAATAAGCTTTTCTTGACATTAGTAACAACACATGGGGTATTAAAAATGGCCTTTTGAATTGCTGGTTCTATCCAGCTAGCATATATAAAATCTTCCAAGTCACTTATATCATAATAGTTACTGAAACAAACCCGTTTTAAGACCCACCTAAAATGCTACCTTCTCCATGAGGCATCCCCTAATTATATCAAGCTGTGATCTACATTTCCTTGCTTTGTGCTTCTATCACACTTTGGACCACGCTGGCCTCTTGTATTTGTTAGGGATGCTTGATTGGTATCTCTCCTGCTGTGTTATCAGTGTCTTGGGGGAAGAGAAAACTCTAATACAAACACATAGACACATATGAATCTGTGTATGTATATACATAGTGCCCAGCATAGTCAGAATACAAAGAAATAAACCAACACACCAGACATCAATCAGGAAAGTTTAGCTTGATTTTTCTAGTCTGAAATGAATCACAAGCTTCTCTTCCAGTTTATAGATGTTAGCATTTTTTTCAAAGAACCTGGTGAGTTTAAAATATGTCTGTCAATGAGAAACTGTATGAGCCTCGTATAATTTCATCTTTAAAAGGGGAATGCTGTAGTCACTGTTTCGTTCATCAAATACCATCTGATTGAGAAACAAAGGATTCACTGAGTATTTGCTCAGAAACCGCATGATAAAACATGAGAGAGAAATGAATTACATTATTATGCTATACTAACAAAAGGAATATAAGCAAGCACCTTGGAATCCATTAAAATGTACTTTGATTTGGAAAGTAAAGTATATACATCTACACAATGGAAAAAAATCAGAATCTTTTGATTTATATATGTAAGGATTTTAAGGTGAACTACACATCGATGATTTCTAAGTTACACATAACTTCATTCACTAATTTATTCTGAAGTATCCATTAAATATTTGCAAGGTACTAGCTACTGAGGGTCTAGACACCAAGGAGAGCAAGACAAATAAGATACTCTCCTCTTTGCAGTGAGTCTCATTGGATTGCCTTTTTAAGACCATCGGCACTTACCCGTCTGGTTTTTCAAGAAATGCAGTATTTGCTGGGCACCATCCACTCTGCTATCTGTGAGGGCACTAGGAAGAAACAAACAGACATTGGTCCTGACCCCAGAGGACTTACAATTTAGAGAGGGAAATAGTTAATAAACATGTAAATAACAGATAAGTAAAAATCTTGTAATACGTGCAAAGAAAGAAACACAAATCTACGATACTGATTTAAACAATGAATGGGCGGTGCTTTAAATATGGTGGTCCTCTTATCCCTGAGCCAGTGAGATGAAAGCAAGACCTGAAAGGTACCTAAAAAATGAGCGGTGGGCAATGGACCGACGCCAGGTTGCCCTTTTCACTTCCTGTTTGCTCTCCTGACATAATGGCTTTAATTAATCAATCTGGTTCCTGTAGTTCAGTGTCTGCTTCTGAGTCCCATGGCTCTGGCTTCTCCTGCAACTTCAGGTCCCAGTTCTGCGGCCCCCTGGCTCTCAGCATCACTTGCAGGAATTAGGTAAAAACCACCCCATGCACCGGGTCTGTGCCTCTGTGGGGCTGTGTTGGTTGGACTCACTCCCATCCTTGCCCAGAAGGAGAGTGGAATTTGGACATGGAAAAAAGTATTCGGTTGGCTATAGCTCCGAGCCTAGTTGAACACTGGCATAATATCTTCCAACTAATTTTAGAGGGGGTTTGATTGAAAGACTTTATGGCTGGACCTGGATAGTAAAAACAGCTGATGAAGAAAGTCCTACATCAAATCTATCCTTAGGGAAGGGTAAATGTGTCTGGAAGCACCACGCTCCAAACCTTCTGACCAGAACTGGCTATATAACTTGTGGGGCCCTGTACAAAATGAGACCGTCAGGCTTCTGCTAAAAAAATATTAAACATGTCAGGACAGACCAGCAGAGAATTAACCTGAGTGTGGGTGTTCTATGCGCGGGGCTCTGTGTCACTGCACAAGTCTCACACCTGGGAAGCTGGTCCTGTCTCTGACTCCCGCAGGCTCTTCCCACGGTTCTTCACCTTCCTCTGGCTCCCCTGCTGTTCATTTGCGTGGCTCGGAAGTTCAGGAGCTTTAATGTTTGTGATGGGAATGCTTGAGCTGCAGAGGTGGAGCTGTGCAGCTCCCCCTGTTGACTGTACCTAGGCATTGCATATCTCCCAGGAGGAACACAGACATCAGCTGAGACCCTTTTTGTAGTTTGTCACCAACAGTCACTGTTTGCGAATCAGTGTAAACATTTCTTTAAAAATGAGCCTAGAAAATACTGTGTCAATCGGCTATGCAGAAGGATCACAGGTGAATGTGGTTATTCCAAACATTTCTTTGTTAGGGTCAAGGAGGAGGTTTGGCTCTTTCGGACGGAGTCAGGACGCAAGGCAGGGTTAAGATCGCTAAGTCAATCACTTAGTCCTTTCCCACTCGACATTCTGTGCCAAAGACCTATGCTTGGGGCAGTGATGGAAAGCATGACCTCTCAAAGCTAGAATTCCTGCCTTTAATTTCTGGTTCTGCCATTTTTTAGCTAAGGGATCTTGAGCACACAGTACTTCCCCATCCACACCTTAGCTTCCATAGCTTCCATGTTCAGAGATGCTGTCAGGAGATAACAGCGGGCTGTAAAAGGATGGTGCACCAACATTATTTTGTTGTCTCTGCCACTGATGGGGCTGTTACGTGAATTCGCCCTTGCTGTTTGTGCAGTCCTTTGGTGGTCGACAACACCCAGACTCCTGTTCCCCATCATGGGTCCTCCTGAACCTTTGCAAGAGTTTCTCAGAAGCCCACACAAGCAAGTAATGCTGGCAAGTCACAGGGTATGGGCTTATGCAGTTCTATTCACTGATGCACAATTGCTCTCCAAAAGGGCTGTAGCAGTTTTTACTCCCACCTCATCTGAGGCAGGGGGACGAGGGCCTGGACATGTTGGCTGACGCAGGACCATGCAGAAGGGCATCCCACGCCCATAAGCCTCTGTGGGGTCAGCCAAGGCTTCCCCGGGCCTGCCTTGCAGCTTGACCTCCTGCCCACTCCTGCTTCCTTCTTCCTGCCACAGATGCTGCCCCCAGGGGGCACTCCTGAG